ATTTAGACCCGCGACAACCTGAAAGCTGCCAAGGTTGAGAAACACTGATATAGATGATATAAGTAACACAGGACGCTGCCCACGTTACTATACTTCACATTCGTTTTGAGCATCTGAGACTTTGGAATTTTATATGGAAACAATATTTCAGACAATGATATGAACTCCTTGGTGTCTGCATGTTTCCCACTGGAGATTCTGAACTACTAACCATCTCTTTTGCGGTATATGTTGTTTGTTACAATTAGACATGATTAAATGCAGTTGGCCAAAGGATGCTGGGCTGCATGGATCTGATAAATTACTTCCAGTTGGTCTATTTTTTAAGTTTATCTTCAAACCTTTTTTGCAAACAAATTTTATTTACAAAAGTAAATGTATTAATTTGCACCGGCATGTCAACCGTCCAACAATATATAAACCTCTCTTGATCATTCTGAAAACATAAAAAGGGAATGAAAAATGTGTTAGATGTAAGTTTGTGAACTTGAAAGCAAAGTTGCTTCATTAATGCATCTTTCATTCCATGTCAAATACTATACTGGTACTATGTTTGGTTACTCAGATGAGTCAATCTTGTGTGATTGCTTTCACAAAGTCATTGCCTGTGGATTTCCCAGCAGCAGAGGTGCGAGCCTCAGCAGTGCACGAACTGGCATCTTCAATGGTTTGAATTTCAAGAGGAGCTCAGAAAAACTTGTACTACCTAGAAAATATTTGAGAGAAAACAATTATTTTTTTTCAGCTATAAGAACACACATACTAAAATGCTGTGTTTCAGAAACAACAATAGCCCTTTGGTGGTGTAGAGCAGTTTTGATTTTCCTATTATTTAAAACACATGGATACCCAATAGTCACATTTTGACAGGGTTCACAGATCTTACTATGAGTTAACGCCTTTAGCATATTGGACAAACACATCATGCTTTAAAAATTATGCTTTATGCCTTCTCCAGCCTATTGGGTTTTACTCAACCAACAACAGTTAAATGGTGACAGTTAATCCAGTCTTCATCTGCTCTGTGATAAATTCATTCTCTCTCTTTTAAGAGGTCAGGTTCCGCTTCAGAAAGCAATGAGCTTCTACAATAGTTTATTTAATGAGATATTGC